ACACAATCACGAAGCAATCACACACAATCAGGTCATAATCTGACACAATGTTGCAAAATATATCACAATATTTATTCAACCATCTGAAACAATCAGAAACAGTCACACACAATCATACATAATCTGAAACAATCACACACAATTCACACAATCACACACAATCTAAAACAATCACACACAATCATGACAAAGTTTTTAAAATTATGTCCCAATATTTACCCAACAATCTGAAACAATCAGAGACAATCATCGACACAATCATAAACAATCGCACACAATCACACACAATCTGAAACAATAATTGTCTAGACACAATCATGTGTACACTTTTTTGACCAGTTCCACACCCCTCGGCGCGCGCAATGCACAGATTTGCCCGCGTCTGCACCGAGGAGGCGCGGTTTTGCACGGGTTATTTCTGACAGGAGGCACGCGTGCATGCGGTACAGTCTAACAAAGAAATTGCACGGTGCGAGTCAGCCCGTTATAGCGACATGAGCCCACGAGATATAAGCCCGGATGGAGCCCCGATTGCACCCGACAACCCGACATGGGCCCCGATTGCACACGACATGAGACCCGGCCGGTACGGGTTCGGGCCCATGTCGCTATAACCAGTCAGCCACCTGGTACAAATAATGCAGTAAATGGAATCCTGGAGCTGCCTAACAGCACCCACCTCATAGACACGCCAGATTGTAGATTTTACTTATCTACCCGTTGTCTCATCTGCTCTCTCCACCTCTCAGGTCCCTGACGTGGCGGCGCCTGCCACACAAACTGCAACTCCATACGTGGGACCGCCGAGAATTGACACATTTACAGCGCCAGTCCTTTCTATAGCTGAGAACGATCTTGATAATGGCCGACTTAAGGTGAATGACATCCTCCAAAACTGCAAGCGATGGCAAAGCGCACGCTGCATAAAGAACTTAAAGGGCGATGGCTCGGAGACACTGCTGCGTGTCTTGGCGCCACAACTCGAGGAGCTGGAAATCGTGGGTGACGTTAAGCCAATAGTCATGGAAGAGGTGGAAAAGATGTCATCACTCAAGCGACTAAAAGTTAAATGTGATCCTCTATTCAGAGGAGACTACCCGGACCTGCCGGTGGAGCTAGAGGAACTTTCAATAGATTTATCAAGCGAGAAGCAGCTGCGCTGTGTGCAGCGTATGACGAGGTTGCGTTGCCTGGCGGTTTATAATTACCATGGTCCAAATTTGGTTATGGTCCCCTCTCAGCATGGAGGGCTGTTGTGGTTGCTTGTTGCCTTCCAGATTGATTTCAAAGAGACCATGCTGTCCTTGATCCGTGCTCATGCTTCGTCACTGCTCGAGCTCAAACTAGGCTGTGCCACCACTGATCAGGACCCCCGAAACCGGAGATTCTACTTCCCCGACCTAGGCCAGGACCTGGCGGCGTGCGGCATGCGGTCCCTTCGACGGCTCCGCCTTGCACGCAATACGGCTTCCTGCATCGATGTAGCTGCATGCCTGATTCAGCGACGGACAATTCTGGAATTCTTACCGTCCGTCCTCGTGGAGTGCAACAGGTGTGTCTAATCTGTGTTCTGGGACAAATCGCACGGTATGACCACAGGCGTTATCACATGCCAGGGCGCGAGGCTCTCCATGTGCCTCCTTTCTTCGTTACTTGGTGTTTTATACATCCGGCAGTAAAATGCCTTCGCTGAATTCAAACGTGGTCATAATGAATATTGTGAAAAGATTCTTTCAATGCAGGATTTTTAGAAATAATAAGTTTTGTTTATTTTTTAAAACTAAAATTACGAAAGTAAAATAAAAAGTACACTTTGCATGCACCTTATAGCATTATTGATTCATTCCTCATCCTGTTTTGGCATATTTTTGTCAAGAAACGGATCATGAAACCAGACAAAAGAACTTTTAGACCAGTGTCTTGTTATAGTTTTCCCAAATATCTAGAAATAAATGTTCAGTATGGTCTCATCTTCTAATTATTACTTAGGAACAGGCTTAACTTGTCAGGGTTTTTTGCAATAGAGGCTGTTTTATGTATTTTTTCTTTTAAGTCGGTTTATTGAAGCATTTCTAATGTTAAAGGGGTACTAGTACCATCGTCAAAAGTGACCCAGCGCCGCAATTAACCTCGTATGGGACATTTACAAAAGTGCAACTACTGTTGTGTATTCGGAAACTTCCTTACAGCGATTTTCATCAATAAAATCATAAAAACGTTCTTTAGTGAGGCTTTCTAATCGCTCTACGCGAGGGTTACACTGGCCGCGACGAACTCTTTCTGCTGGCTTTTTATATTTATCTACAGCAAGCGGCAGTTTTCACGGCTGACGTATGTTTCAGTACCAGATTGTCTTTAAAATTTTTCTCAAGTACGTAGTGTTATTACATTTGGTTTGAGCGCGGCCTTCACCAGCAGCGCTGCTGTCCGGCCCGACCCGGCCCCGTGCTTCCGCTGCGCCGCTGTGGTCGGCCGGACGTTTGTGTGCGAGTTGCTCCACGCTTCCGGACCGACCCACCCGGACTAGAATAGCAGTCGCGCCCCGTCCCGCCCAGCCCAGGCCCCTGCCAGATACGGACAAAATTTTGCACGACAAGTTGATATACACTGTAAAAAGTTCCAGTTTTACTTTTTTTTCTTGTTTCCTCAACCTGTGAAAGTTGCGGGAAGTCGACATAAAGGAGCAAGAGGAATTGCGGCGCCGCAACACGGGTACGTACACACCTACCGTGTTGGTGCAGGCGCCCCGACGCAGGACACTGAAGAGAATGCCGGTAGTTGAGGACTTAAAACCACCCCATTGGAATAAATAGGGTGGTAGGGAAAGGGGTAGGTGCGGCGGCGCGGCATAGGAGGGAAAAGGTGGGGAAAGGGGAGAGGGCGGAGGGGAACAACGGGAAGCAGGAAAGCCTGGCGCGACAACAAGTGAGAAATGTAGACCGAGTGGCTGCACAATAATCATAATCATCATCATAATAACAACAATGCCCGGCCCGGGCCCCTGGGGCCTCTG